CACGTGGACTGATTCCACTGCAGCTGCACCAGAGTTAGCAACAATGGGAATCTTAGTATAGACAGCTTTCAGCTCCAGCAGCCGTTTTCAGCAGTGTATCAGTTAACCCTGCTCTGAGGAGGGTTAATTGACACAGTGCTGCAAATGGCTGACTAGATGAAAACTCATATATTATGCCTCCCAACATCTCTAACAATTGTCCAGCTGCATTCATATTGGCAATGGTGGGAATTTGGAGGAGGGAAGAAATTTGCCACTGCAGACAAAGCATGAGCATGAGCCTTAATGTTCCTTTCTGGGTCTTTTTTGTGAGTCACAGTCATGCTTCCCTAAAGCATTCTCAGAGCCATCTCCACGTTGCTGATTATGAAGCAACAGCCACTGTTGGTCCCACCAGCTGGAAAAAAAAGAGTGGAAGAATGGTGATACACTCCGGCCCAACTCATAGGTGCACTCACGGTTCATGTGTCTGCTCTTCTCTCTCTTCTGCCTGTGTGTTTCCACAGGCAACACATTCTAAAGGAACCTGGGAAAACAAAAATTAGCTTTTCCCACAAATACAGACAATGTTTGCAAGATGTGCTTCTCCTGCACTAACTGGTTCTCTGGCAGCAGAGTATCAGGATTCCCAGTACCCACTGCAGCCTTTAACTACATAAATATCTTTGGCTTCTCTGTTTGGCCACAGAAGTGAGATACCCACTCAAAATACCACCCTTCAGATTTGGCAGCCTCTAGCCCTGGTAGGCCAAGGCTGTTCCTCTAAGGAGTTTTCTGAGGCAGTGCAGAGCTGTAAGCTTCTTGAAATATGGAGCAAACAGTCAAAAAAGTTCTCCTGAATTTTACCATCTGCTCTCCCATTCCGGGCAAGAGATCTCTTTCAGAGTTAAAAAATTGCTGCTTCCCCTGAGCTAAGGCCTTAAACTTACTATCACTGCCCCTTTTGAGTAGCTTGCACTCCATGAGAGCTGGGGTGGAGAAAACAGGACCCTCTTGAGACAGAATAGAGGGGTGTCCTGACTCTGCCCTCCTATGTACACGGTGAGCAGGCATTATAAAGTTGGTGACATGCTTCCTATCACATAGTTGGCATCACAGACCTTCAGTAGCAACCTGTAAAAAATAAAGAAGTTCTCTCCTTGTGTAAAGCACTACCCCCTGAGACCATCTGAGTTCACAGACTTCCACTGGTGGGAGTTAGCTGTACTTATGTATTATGGGTTATGTTAGGTTGCTATCTGTAGGTGACACCTCCCCATGACCATGCAGTATGGTTTCTTCTGCATCTGTGGGCTTTTGAGAAAGGAAATGGATGAAGAAGTGAGCAAGGGAAGTTATTTATTGCTGCTATTTATAATCTCCTAGGCCTATTTAACCTGTAATTTTCTGTCATTCTAAAAGATACTTTCCTGCAATCTTGATTCTTTGTTCTGATGCAAAATATTACTGCTGCTATTAGAATGCACAATTTAAAAAAATCTCCTCTGGGAAGAGAGGCAAATTAACCCTCTACAAGCTATCATACTGATTACAGAATAAAAAATGGCCATTTTTATAAGTGTTCTGGGTTTGGTAGCAAAATCTGCACATTGTTTCTCATCGCCTTCTTCTTAATCTTCTAGGAAGTTCCTCTGGTTTCTTTGGAAAAGTCCTGAGTTTAAGAGTCATGGAGACTAGAAATCAGGCCAGATTTTATGTCTATAAGTTTCCTATGCTATTATGAATGGTTCCAGAAAACAAAAAAATAAAAGCACTGACAATTAGTACTTCTGTTAATAGACCAAAGCTTAAATCTCAGACCAAAGCTGGTGGAAAGTAGGTTATGTCTACTCCAGTGACTTTGCAGTAGTCCCTTTGATTAATTATGCAGTTGTATGCACTGGTGTTTGCACTGAATATTGTGTAAATACATCTGTATTGTCAGAGGATGGATTGGAACAGTGGAAGGAACAGCTACCACATCTCTTTTGGGAAGGAACCTGTTAAAAAACAAAGAGCTGTTTGGCTCCTCGGCTTCCATCAGCCACTTGAGGAAAGCAAGGCTTTCTGGGTTCTGGATGTCATGTTGCTTACCTGGGTTAAGGTATTCTGTATATAAATTACATTTTTGATTAGACAGCATTGCATCCACATAGGAATTGCCATAGGGAATATCACATTGATTTATTGTCTAAGCACTTTTGGTTAAGGAGAGAAACAGGATAGTTTCAAATAAATGAAAGACATAGTTATTTAGATCTTGGATACTGATTCTTATGATGGTTAATCTGTAGTCAGACTGTAGAAAGATGCAAACCGTTGTGCTGGGCACAGTACAAGCATCAAGGCTTTTGTTGTCTGGAACAGCTTTCAAAGAGTGATCTTAGGAATACTGATCTCATGTGAAAATTATTTGCTTATGGCTATATGTAAAAAGTCTTTGAACTATACAGTTTTTACTAGAACTGCTCAAGGGAAGACTAGTGGAACAATTAATATATAGGATGATTCTGTAGAGATGGATGTTTTGGAGCAACAGGATTTTACTAATCACGTGTAACACTTTCTTCCAGAGAAATGGACACATGAATATGCTTTTAAGAAATTAATGGATGTTATAAAAGTTATGTGCTGCAACACTTCAAACTAAACACTTCACAATCTCCACTTGGAATCCTGATCGCATACAGCAGCTTGCTTATTCTTTTGATGTATAGAAGAGATGTAGGGCTCAATGGATTTCTTCATGGTGTGATGGGAACTGAATATTTTACAAAATGCAGTCAGACTACAAGGCTTTTCTGATAGCTGTTAGATATAACAGGTGGACTGTGTCTATCTTCCATAGCTGGTTGCTTTTGGGGATGGGAGCGAAGCAGGCTGTGGGATTCTTGTGATTGGATTAAGAACACTTTGGCAATATTTTCAGCCTTTAGAAGTGTTCTAGGATTACTCTTTATTTAGCCCATCTGTCTGCAGTGTACTTTTTCTATTCGATAGAAAATAACTCAGCTGTCTCCTCAGCACAGTGTTTGCTGGTCAATGACTATGTTTGATTGTACTAACTTTCTGCCTGTTTCCTTATTTATTAATAGGTATAAGAATTTGTAAGGTGCCACGAATACTGGCTGCATTTCAACAGCTTGCACAAGGAGTGTTGCAGCAGTATCTCTGCCCTCTTCAGTATTATATACGATAATGCAATTTTTCCTTCTGAGCGCTCTCCTGCGCTTGTCCAGCCCTAAGCAGGGGAGAAAGGATGTCACCAGATAGTTACTACAGGGGTGGCTGTCAGCCGACGTGCAAGACCTTGTGGGAGGAGTGGGACTGGAGGAAATGCCCAAGTTGTACATGAAGCCCAGGTGTGAACGTTTCTTTGGGGGGACGCGCAGACGGAGGGAGGGGGGGTGTCCTTCCCTGGCCTTTGTGGCCATCTCCTTGTTGGCGCAGTGGAGGGGCGCCTAACCATGGCTTGCACGGGAGAGCACCGAACACCGGCGGAGGGAGAGGGCTGTGCTGGACATCCTGCCTACGGGGTCTGGGAAGAGGCGCAGCCTGCGACCCCGCCACGCTCGTAGAAGAATAATGTCGGGGCAGGGCTCACCGCAAGGTCATTCCGCGTGCCGTCACCCTCCCGGCAGGACAGCTCCAACCCGCTGTCGGGTTACACCGCCCACATTTTACCGCGGCGGCGGCCGCCTCGCCAGGCGCCGAGCCCGCGCCGCGATGGCACTGCCTGCCCGGCGGCCGCCTCGCGGGGCCAGAGAGAGCCGCGCTCCCCGCGGGGCCAGAGAGAGCCGCGCTCCCCGCGGGGCCAGAGAGAGCCGCGCTCCCCGCGGGGCCAGAGAGAGCCGCGCTCCCCGCGGGGCCAGAGAGAGCCGCGCTCCCCGCGGGGCCAGAGAGAGCCGCGCTCCCCGCGGGGCCAGAGAGAGCCGCGCTCCCCGCGGGGCCAGAGAGAGCCGCGCTCCCCGCGGGGCCAGAGAGAGCCGCTCTCCCCGCGGGCGGAGCGCGGCGGGCGCGTCCCGGGCGGCCCCGGCCCGGCCGCCTTTGTTCGGCGGGGCGCGCACGTGCAGCGGCCGCGCAGCCCCGCGCGGTGGCCGCGGGCGCGTGCGGGGCGCCGGGCCCGGCCTGGCCCTTTAAAGCCGCGGTGGCGGCGCGGCCGGGCCGGTGCGGGACACGTGAGGCGGCGGCGCACTCCGCCACCGCTGCCCCGGCTGCCGTGCTGCTCGTGTTTTATCTGGCCGGCCGCCAGCCCCCCATCGCCGGGTTCTTTGCTCTGCCTCCTCCTTTCTCATTCTCTCTCTCTCTCTCTCTCTCATTTTTTTTCTTTTTTTTTTTTTTTTTTTTTTTTTCCTCA